GGGGGACCCCCACAGATGGGACCTCTAAAAACGCTGCTGGGAAGAGTCCGTTTGATCCAGCCGCTGAGATGTGACAGGCAGGGTCCAGCCTTGGCCAGCATGGTGAACTGGTGGGCACTGGGCGGGCAGCTTGCGAGGGTGCGTGCCTAGAGATGCCAGCTGGCAGCGAGGAAGGCAGCTGCCCGCAGCCCAGCTCTCACCCCTGCCAAGAAAGCAGCATTTGTTTCCCCCCACGGAGATGAAATGTTTAATATGATGTTGATTCGAGATGGACTTTTAAATGAAAGCCCTTGCAGAGCCATCCTGCCTAATGAATAGTGGTCAGCCTCGCTGCTCGGCTGCCACAGCCCAGCGCTGCACCCTGCCCACGCCGCAGCACGCAGGGAGGGTTCTGGCTCTTCCCAGCTGGGCTAAATCGCCTCCGAGCAGCCTGGATGTGATCTGTGCTGGCAGACCTGGGGTTCAAAACCAGCACAAAGAGCCCCAAAACCCCAAGCGGCTGCAGAGCCTGGAGTGAGACGGACTGAGACCACCCAGCTTCTGCGCCCAGAGAGGTCCCACTCTGTGCTGAAGCAGGACACAGGCATCCCGCTCTTCTGAGCAGCTCTGGCAAGGTCCCTTTGCCCATTAATTTTTATCCTTTTGGTCCTTTGGTCCTATGGTGCCTTTGCCCACCCAGCATCCCTGACCCTTACCTGGGCAGCAGCTGGGGATGGTCCGAACCCAAAGGACGTCAGTGCTGATACAGCCAGGCTGTTCATCACCACCTGGTGCATTTGGGAGTTTTGAATCATCATCAACTCGATTAAATCTGCCGGAGAGTAAGGGGCTCTGCATCAGAGAGAGATCAGAGCAAGGGCACAAGAAATGCAGCCATGGGATGAGTGCCTGGGATGGGGCAGCACCAAGGCTTGTCCCTGTGCCCAAGCGGTGGGAGCTAAGCCAGACTACCCCCACCCCAATTTGGAAGGCCCATGTGGCATTTAAAAATTATTTTGCTTGGATAAAGCTTTAAAATAGCCATATTTCAGCCTTTTCTTATTTGCAAATGTGATTAAACATCTGGTCTGGCTTGCTGAAGGCTGCTCACAAAAGGTGATTAGTGGTGCTGGAGGCATCAGACTTTCCGCCCATTCGGAGGAGAATTGCTGTGGTCCTGGCAGCGCTCAGCGGCTTGGCAAGCCTCTGCCTTACCAGGCGGCAGAGCCGGTGTCCTCGGGGTGGCACCGCACGCGGGGCACACCAGGGTCTGCTCTGCTTTGCACCATGTCACGCACAGGGGAGCTCAGAACCCCCCTGCCTAAGGAGGCAAGAGCTGGGGCTGGACCAGGGAGGCTGACCCCATCTCCATTCCCAGGACCAAACACCTACGGAGCTGAGTCCAAGCGAGGAACAGGCTGGGGATGCTCGGTGTCTCCCCAGCCCCTGCCTGGCACCGCACAAGGAGCTGGGACCCGGAGTGGCCATGGTTAGTGTCCCAGTCCCCTTGGCTGGATGTCCAAGCCACGGTGCGGCTGCTGAGAGCAATCTGGCTGCAGGGGAAGCACGGTGTCTGGCTCTGCATCTCCATTAATACATCCCCATTTGCTGCAGGCGGGAAGTTCCCCTGCAAAATGCCTGTAACCCTGCTGGAGGGGCTGCCTCCGAGATCCTGCTGGCTTTGTGCACAAGACCTGTGAGACCCCGTTAGCCGGAGCCCTGGAAAAATGGGGTTTGGGCATCCCTGTGTCCCATATGCCACATCCCAAGATGCTTTCACGGCCGCAGAGATGGGATCCCAGGGCACCCACTAGGCAGCCAGCCCTCCGGAGACGAGCATTGCAGCACATCCCGGGAGGTGGCCAGAGCTGCAAGGAGGGAGCGGGCCAGCAGCCAGGCATTGAACCGGGAGGAGAAAGCATGCGAAGGGCTGGCAGCTCTTAATGGATCCCACCCGTCCTGCTGGAAAGGCAGCCAGCCCCCACCGCAGGGCTGCAAGGGGCCGGGCTGGGGTCTTGGTTTTCTTTCCACACCAATTTTCAGCGTGCCCTTTCCTCTGTGTATTTTTAGAGAGTTAAACCTTCCCCCATCCCCACAGGGCTGCATAGCTTCACCCATGGCTTGTCCCAGGAACCACGAGCCCCCCCCCGTCTCTGCTGTCTGCTCCCCCAGCACAGATTGCTGGATCCTGGCTTGCACATGGTTGGGTGAAGCCCCTATAGACAGTCGGTCTTTGCTCCTGCCTGTATGTCCCACGGGCTCTGGGGCTGGCACGTGTCCCACTCCAGTCCCACCTAGCATGGCCAAGGAGCCCATATCACCCTGGCTTTCCCTGGTGATGCTCCCTATGCCCATGTGAAATGAGGTTTTGGAGAACAGAGGTGGATTTCAAATAACAGCCCAAAACCATTCTCTGGGAGCATCCTGGTACGGCCAAAGCCAGCTCAGACTTCAAGGTTGGTAAAACCACCAAAAATTGCATCCTGTGGGGCAAAGCAGCCATTGAAGCACAGTGTGACCAGCCCTGCAAGGCTGCGGAGGGTGGGAGCAGCCCCCCCCGAGTGCCCCTCATCCTGAAAAGGCTACAAAAATGAAAAGGACAAAGTCAAGCTGGTTTTAATGCCAACCTCTACAACTTCTACCGTCACGCACCTCCCCGGACGTCTGGGGGTCCGGCGGGATGGGGCAGGGCAGCCACAGTCCCGGGAAGCTGCTGGAGGATCATCACTGGCTGCTGGGGCACCGGCACAGCCCCGTGAGGAGATCGCCCAGGTCGGAGCTGAAAGGCAGGAGAGGAAGGAAAACCCCAAGGATCTCCCACTCTTGGTTTAATTTAGTGCCCTGTCAGTGCGGCAGCCGGGAAGGAGAGGGGGAGAGGAGCTGGGGGCAGGGAGGAGAGTAACGCTGGCTCCAGGGGGAGCAGGGCTGAGAGCCTCGGAGGGGTGGCTTGCACTGACCACCTTCTTTCCTGGGGTGCAGCCCTGCAAGCCTGGACAAATTGCACGCCTGGCAAGTCCCCACCCCTGGGGACACGTCCCCGTGCAGCAGTGTTTTTTCCAGGGCCCCACGGTCCGCAGGAAGCAGGGAGGAATTTTCAAAGAGCAGCTTTGCTGCCCCAGACCCCAGTGCCCACCCAAAACCCTGACCCTAGCCCCTCTCTTCTCCCACCTCAGCCCATTTTCCCCACCCCACCTTGGCAACCCCTGACTATCCCATAAATCCAGAGACAGAGCTCCTCTCCAGAGCTTACCCTGTGCGGGATGATGTAGGTCCCTGCTGGGGTGTCCCCCCAGGCCCCATGGGGGTCCCCCGCTGCCCCCCCCTCCATGGCTCGGGCAGGTACACAGGCGATGGGGTGAGCAGAGCTGCAGCAGGCAGCAGGACTCGTTGCTATAGCTGCTGGGGCTAAACAAACCCTCCCCGGAGGTTTGGCCGGCAGAAGAGCATCCCTGGGCTGGTTTTCCCTGCAGTGTATCCCCAGGATAAACCCCCCACTGCAAAAGGCTATGGGGCAAGGACAGCTTGTGCCCCCACAATGATATTTCTGAGCCTGCAGGACAACCTTCCCTGCAGGGAAGTGAGCTGAGAGCAGGGCAATGGAGGTTTTTCCAAGCCCTGCTACTGGTCCCGGTGACAGCGTCTCATGGCTTGCGGCTTTGGGAGCTTTCCTAAAATCCCAGGTCCCAGCGCCCTGTGGTGTCCACAGGTCCCATCCGTCGCAGCCGGTGGGATACGGGTCTGCTCCTGCCCCATGGCCCATGCTTTTGGTGCCTCTGTTTCCCAGTCTCTGGGGCTGTATTTCTGAACTGGGAGATATTCGGGGATACTGAGCCCAAACACAGCAGCTCTGGGACAGAGCAAAGATCGCTCAGCTGGGGGAAAAGAGGGAAAACCTGTGATGAGAGTTCCCTGCTACCTTCTCCCGGGCTTTGGCAATCTGGGACTCCAGGACATCCCAAGCCAGAAGCGATCCCATCTTTAACAGCCTTTTCTTTCCAGTTTAAGGGCTGTTGGCTTCGAGCCCACTGGCAGGTCACCTCCCTGGGGCAGAAGGCAGAGAAATGGGAAAACAAGGAAGGAACAGGGGCTGGCGGGATGTGCTTTCCCATCAGAGCAGCTCACTCCTCACCACGCCACCTCTTTGATTGGGACTTATTGAAAGGTCCTTTCAAGCACCAGTGGAAAGCACCTGGAGGGGCGGGAGGCAGCTGCAGCGCATCCCTACAGTGCACCTAGAGGCACTCCAGGACATCGGAACAAACCTGGCGAGGTGCCTTTGCAGGGAGCATCTGGAGACAGGTCTGGATGAGAGTCTGGGATAGCTTTGGATGTCAGGCTGGGATCAGATCTACAAGGCTCTGTGGTGCCTGCTGTCGGATGGAGGTATCCATGCCAGTGCACCACGGGCTGGGGTCTCAGTCGGTGGAGGGAGAAGGTCCTTGCACCCCATGGGATGTCCCCTTGCAGGTCCTCAGAAACAACAACCCCACGCACAACCAAGGTGCAGTGGCAGGGGATGTCCCTCAGCCCTGACAGTGCCACCTGAGGTCTGGTCCCCAGGGTGCCCACAGCGCAGCACCAGGTCCCCTGGGTCGGGCTCCCAGCCTCGTGGACCACTTCCCTGGGGATGCAATAACCAGCCACCACATTCCCTTGTGGAAATCCTGGCAAGGCTTAACATGAGCACAAATCAATTGTGCCAGAACCTTGCTCCAGCCTGCTGCTCTCCCCTTCCACGAGTCCCTCCCAGGATGTTCACACAGGGATTTGTGTCCAGCAGACCAAAACCAGCTCACATTTTCCCTTTATCTCCCCTTGACCAGAGAGCTCTGTGTGTCCAAGCTCATCTCAGGGAACACTGCGGCACAGTACGTCTGCACGAAATATTTAAGCCCCAGTAAACCCACTGCAGTGAAAATCCACTTTCTCCCCAAAAATAGCACAACTTCCCACTGGCCAGGTATCTTTGCTCCACTGCCATCAGCTGTGTTTCCCCAGGCTGCTCTTCTGGGTGATTATTTCCATCAATATTACATCCAAAATCCATCGTCCACCAATACCGCAGATCTGGGAACTTTTCCCAGGAACTCAGCCTGCAGCCAGTCCTGCTCACCAAGCAGGAACAGATCTCTTTAAAAAACTCTTGTTCTGCCCTAAAACATCACCAGAGACACCCCCAAATGTCAGAGGAGGAGCGCTCCGAGGCTGGCTGCCTTAGCCCCCAACTGTTGGCTCCAGTCGGGCTATTTTCTGCTTGATTAGATTTTGCTCTGTGTTCCTAATTTCTCCAAGCCCCTCCGGATTATTTCTTTGCCTTTTGTTATAACTCCCAAATTCCCATTATTTGCACATTTAATTACTGTGCTGATTACCCCCTGCTTCTGGCAGAGCCTGCCTTGCTCTGAACAGAGCCCGGGTATCTGTCTCGCTGGTGCTAATATTGTTCTCATCTGTAGGAAAGATTCAAGCACCGGGGTAATGGGCTAAGCAGCATAAAGAAACCTTCTGCCAGTGGTGGGACAACAAGGGGACCCAGGGGAGCTGCTCTGAATGTCTGCAGGTCCCCCATGGCAGCTTGAGCCCCTTCAGGGTGTTATTAGCTGCCCTCCAGTACAACCCACAGCCCCGATGCATCTCGTGCAGCATTGCAGGACAGCGCACAGGCTGGGGGCTCAGCGGCAGGCAGGGACAGGCAGCCTGTCACTGTGACATGTCTTTTCTTAAGTCCCCCAGCATGTCTGTCATGGAGAGAGAAGGTCTGAGCATCAGTTGGGGAGAGGGAGCAGGAGATGTGGGCACCACGCGCCCACCCGTCCATGTCAGCCTGGCTCC